AAGATGTTACCTAGCCGGGTAATGAAACATTTGCAAGAAAAGAACCAAGCTCAGAGAACCCCAAGGACTCCACAGTCAAAAATGATTTGACGACACATAATCAATCTGAAAAAAGTTGTGGCTGCTTCGAGGAGTTGACTCCTTAAAGCTAACGTGACTCTTAAAGCAGCCATCACTTTTGTTCCAGGTTTATACATAAGCCTGAAAAAAGATGGGGGTTATTGAAAAGTACAACAATGCCACTGTTTGTGCTCCAGCAAGGCCCAAGGCAATTCTTCCAAATAATTTTTTAAGTGCGTGCATCTACAAATCATATGTGAAAGGGAGAGGATGAAAAGGTTGATTATAAAATGCTGGAAAACATGCAGTGGAGGATTTCTGTGACATGGAAGAATTCGTAATTCTGAAAGCAAATGGTATAGAAGCGACAAAAGAGAAAGGGACTATATTAAAGCACAATTGATTTTTCAGTATATTAAATAGCATTTCAAAGGCCTTGCTAAAAGTTCACATTACAAGTAATCCTTGCTTAACAACTGTCCTGTTTAATGGCCATTCGAAGTTACAACAGCACTGAATAAATTTACAACCAGTCTTCACACTTATGACCATTGCAGTGTCCCTGCAGTCATGTGATTGAGATTCAGGCGCTTTGCAGCTGGCAGTTGTTTATGACCATCACAGCATCCCACAGTCACATGATCGCCATTAGTGTGCTTCACAGCCAGCTTCCGACAAGCAGGGTCAATGGAGAAGCCAGCAGTGAAATCGCAAGTCATGGTCATGTGATGTCTCACTTAATGACTGTGGGTAACTTGCTTCATGACTGCAGTGGAAGTGAGGTCGTAAGTCTGTTGTGTCCCCATGATGTCTCGCTTAACAACAACAGGTGAGTTGCTTAACAACTGGTGGAAGTGAGGTTGTAAGTCTGTCATGGTCACATGATGTCTTGCTTAATTACCACTTCATTTAGCAGAGGAGTTGCTGGTCCCAGTTGTGGTTGTTAAGCAAGGACTACTTGTACTCAAAGTAATGACACCTGTTAGGAATGTAAGCAGGGCTTGCCAGACAGGCTGACTCTTACAATACATGTTTGCCCAAGGGAGGGTGGCTTCTCATGCCATGCCATCAATACACATCCCCGCAAGAGAGAGAGGCATGCCCTGGGTCACATACAGACCAAGGTTACCTCAGGCTTTCCTGCCGGAGATTGAAAAAAGCCCTTCATGGCATGGGTCCAGGTTATCTGAGGGATCATCTCTGTCCAATTACATCTGCCCACCCCATCAGGTCTGGCAGAGAAGGCATGCTGTGGGTCCCATCTGTCAGGGAATTACATTTACCGCATCCCAGGAGGTGTACCATCTCTGCCATGGCACCCACCTTATGGAATCTTCTCCCCCTGGAAATGAGGTTAGTTCCATCCCTCTTACATTCTGCAAGTCCCTCAAGACCTGCTTACGATATCAGGCCTGGGGGTCCCAGGGCACTGGAGAGATTTTGTGATGGCTCCCTTACTGTGGTGAATATCATCCTCTCTTGTTTTGTGTGCTTTTTATAGTTTTATAGTCTTTAATTATGACTGCTTTATATGTATTTATTGGTTTTCTTTTTTATTGAGTGTTGTACGCTGCCCAGAGTCACTTTTTTGTGAGATGGGTGGCTATACAAATATGATAAATAAAATAAAATAAAAAACATTGTTTTAAAACTCCACAGAACTCCAGGAGGAAATGGTGAACCAAGCTGGAAAATGGGCTACAATTATTCCCCATGGCCTCTCATTAAAGCTTGGAACCTATGAGAAGTGGTAAAAATCCAGAAAGGAAACCAGGGAATCTTTTGCTTCAAAACCTCTGCTGCTTCTATGGAAAGCAATAAATTTATGGCCATGAATTGCATTATTATTGTTGCTGCTGCTGCTTGTTGTAAATCTACTGTCTCTAGGAAATTGTATGTAAATTCAGCCTTTATCCACTTTTCATGCTAGGTGTGAGGATATAATATGGTCCTTAATCTATTCTCATAATTTATAATATGAATTGGAATCTTGGCAAACCTGTTGTCTGAGATCAAGATGGAAAAGATTCATTTGTAGCAGACCAGCGCCATCTTGTGGTCTGTGCAGGACATAATCTTTTACTTTGGAATTTTTTAAAAAATTCATTTGAAAACAACTGTTTTACCTGAACTGGACTCTGTAATTTATCTTCAGCACTGAGTTTGCATGTTAAAACTTAGAGAGGGCTTTTATGTTTTATGTTTATTTTATAACTTGTAAGATCGGTATATCTCCCAAGGAAGGGCTGAATCCCCTAGCCACATATCTACAGATTATACAGATAGGAAGTAGAATTATAGAAAGTAGATACTGATAGAGAAAACTCTTAATGATTTGCTGCCATCCTATGACTGGATGATTTTTTTATAGTCTAGATATGGAGTGCCTAACTATTCAGAAATTCAAACATTTCAAATACAGTATTCCACTCTTCAAATAATATAATGACTATATAAAACCAGACCCAACAGAATCTGAGCAAAAACACCCTTCTTTTGGACACTTTTTATCTTGAATGATATGTTGATTCTTAGAGTTATACAGGAAGCCAGGTATAAAATACTCTATTAAAATTAATAGGTGTAATGTAACAGTAATTAGGAGCCTTGCAGATACATCATAGGGTTGGGGATACCTGCTCCCCAGCTGTGTTTCTTGCATAACGGAGCTTTTGATCCTTCTCAAATATAGATAAGCTATTTAGTCCCATCAGACCATAAGATTGAGAAATCTGCTTATTAAACCTCACCATAAAACAATATAGGCATCTTAATAATCCAGTTTCTCCCTTCCTTATGTTTGAGAGGCATGTTTTGTTGGGATGATGGTATCATCATTAGATGCCCTCCATATGCTACATGGAACAGCTGCACTGCAGAAAATAGCTTACTGAGCCAATAGCAAGAAAGGATGCTCAACAGAACCAAGTCACAGCCCTACAAGGCATTTTTATGACAGCTGGGCCACTTGTACTGAGCATGAACACTTTTCTTCTTATATAAGAGGATGAGAGAGAACAGACTCACGAACTAAGAGCTTTCTGACATTTCCTTTACGATATAGGGACTTAGAAACTCTTTTGTCCTCTTGATAGGCAAACTCCAGAATAATTGCAATAAGGTAGTTGCTACCACTATAGCCAGACATTTTCCCCCACAGTCACCAAAAAATTCAATGTGCTTGGTTGGTCAGAAAGTCAGGCAATAGCCTCCAATGGCTTTCTCTTCCTTTTCTCCATATGGGGCCCAGAGTAATTTTTTTTAGATTATTGGACAGTTGAGAGGCTCCTGCCTGATAAGCTGGAGACTGAGAAAGGGAGCAATCTTTTCATGTGTGTTCTCTATGTTGTTTATAGCATGTATATATTTTGCCTGGGGACTTAATTTCTGTATGCATGTTTATGAAAGCTTCTCCAGATTTCTTTCAGTGAAATGAGTATTTGGTTGGGTTCAGTGGGGTAAAATAGATTTTCTTTGCCAAGCTACTTCCCTTTTGTGACTATGCAGCTCCCCACAGCAGACATTTGCAGTGGTGCGAACAGAAGTTCTCACATTTCCAAATATTCAGAGTTCAAAAAGGTTTAGGGATCTCAGCTGTAGCCTCATGGAAGAAAAAATTCACCTAATGGATTTTTTTTATCGTAGACTAACCACATCTGCTATCTAAATAAATAGCTTTGAAAACAATGTGAGATTCTACATTCCTTTGACCAAGGAATGCTTTAATTGAACATATGTTACATTTCACATACCAAAAGAAAAGCGGCTGCATATCTTTACATTTTTTGGCTGGCGCCAAAAAAAACATTGCAGCATATGAAAACATGTGCACCTGGCTGGGAATTTAGCTTTCATGATATGCAAAACTGATTAAATGGTAAACACTTTGCCTGAACACCATTCAGAGGTCTTGTGGGATGCATGTTGTGTCACAGTAATTTATAGCTTCTTTATTAACCGGAAAAGGTGCAAAAGAAACAAAAAATGTTAAGCGTTACTCAACACAGCAATATAACTTGGTGCATCAAATGTCAAGTTGAATTAGAGAAATGAAAATTATTCATCAGGGAAATACGTTCCATATAGAAATATGTATCTAGATAATATTTGATAAATGTTTAGAAAATAAGAGTTGATGAACAAACGAACAAACAAACAAATAAATAAGTATTAAAGGGATTTTGGAAAATTTGATTTTACCAACACCATAAAATCATTTTTTTAAACACAACCCAAAAATAGCCCTAGAAAGATACACGTAAGTCTTTTGTTTCTAGTCATCGTTTCCTTTTACTTTCACAAGTAAGTCAAGCTGACTGATCCAATGTTTGATTCCTGATATCCCAGAAGAAGAGGGAAAGGTCTCAAATGCCAGTGAAAAGTGTTTTTGTTTTTTAAATTGTGTAACTGCTAATTAAAATGCTTTAGCTATGCTCTTGACAAATTTCTGAAAAAGCTCTTGAGTTTTGCGAAGTAAAGAAAATTTCACAGGCATTTGAGACATCTTCCCCTCTTTTTTTCTAGTTTTCCATGCCTGCCCTCTTTATTTATGGTATTCCTGAAAAATGTTTCATGTGCAATGGTATGTACTGTATAGACCTTGGGTGAGTGAAAGAGGGAGGAGGAGGGGATGTTAAGAGTCTGGCAAGTCCTTACACCATGGGAAAGCCATCCTTCTACGATGCAGTGCTATAAGTGAAAAAGTATCTGATCAGTGATAGACTGATCCACAGCAGTGGATTTCACTGTTTATATTAATTAAAATGAGGTATCATTCAATTCAGAGCCTGGATTCTCAGTATTATGATGAAGCTAATCATTATATTGGTGAATATGTATTATGTATGTGCATGTGTATTTATTTTCCTGAACAAATTAATTCTGATATAGAAACCAACCTCAGACAACAAATGTGAAACAAGAACACTTACACCAGCATATTCAAAGTCAATTAAGCTCTAGATATTAATGAAAATAACATTAAACTGTAAACAGCAGAAGAGATGTGATGGGAAGACATCTCATTTTAGGCAGTTCTCCACAGCTGTCACAACTTCTTGCAAAATGTTATCTCTATTCGCCTTCGTAATCTAGAATTAAAAAAAAAAGAGAATTCACATAAAAAATAGGGATTAATATTAGTTTTCATTTATTAAAAGTAGCCAAAATACAAGGCTTAGAAAGTAGAGACATTTGTGGAGACTTTTTTGTACATCCCAACTTAGCACTACAAAAAACTAAGAACTGGCAAATTATCAGTTAGTTGTTGTTGTTGCTGTTTTTAATTATAGTACATAGCAGTGTTTCTCAACCTTGGCAACTTTAAGACCTGTGGACTTCAACTCCCAGAATCCCCAGCCAGCAAGGGAATTCTGGGAGTTGAAGT